CTAATTGTTAGATACGGTCAAGTAACTCGTTCAACAGCTTGTCGAGAACAAACATCGACATGTTTTAAATGGTATAAAATTTGGAATTTCGCTAACAACTGATTAACGCAGTTATTCTTTCTCGTATATAAAAGCTAAAAATTCAGAGATGTTTTGAATCTTTCGCAAATGTTATATTTTCAGCAACTTGCACGACCCATTTTTCAAATTTAAACTCGTGCAAGAAAATCACAGATTATTCCGATTATTCGCCACTGCTAACAAGATGTTCATATTTCTATCAGAAATCTTCGTAACATCAAATACCCATGCACGCACACACACACACATCGTATAACAATTTCTCTCTTCTTTAACGTGATCGATAATTCGCCATAGAACAAAATTTAATAGGTAATACTGATTTAATAAACGATCATCGACTGATCGTCGACTAAGGGATAGTCGATTAAGTACAATTAGAGAATCGTATGCCACACGCAGTACGTAGTCTATTTCTAACAACTGAAATTCCATGCAGCTAAATAATCCCGGGACAGGTCTAGCCGACATATTCGTCAACCGACTCAAAAACCAGGAAAAGGAAAGAAACGGAGGAACGAAAGAGGGTCGGTAAAAGATCTACGAAGAAAAATACGTGTACGCCTCCGGTCACGTGCCTGCGGCATAAAGCGATTCAAGCTTCAAAGGTGTCGGCGTGCGCGAACGTTCCAGAGCTGTCTGAGCATCTCTGTGGAGGCTGCCGTAAGAGAAAACGCGATGAAAGCTCGATCATCGTCGTGCTCGAGGAAAGATGTTGCACGCAGAAAGCTCGTCCTTTTATCTCTGAAAATTCTGTAGACGATCTACGTACTTACATACAGGTTGGCCCGGGGCCAAAAGTTTCCAGACAGTTGGGCGCATTACTTGACATGCCACGGGGCAACGTTATCGAAGGAAAAGCTTCGTTGTCCCGGTGGGAATAATATTTACGGCTGCTAGAACGGCGATGGAAAGAGGTTCGAAGATCGTCGACCACAGAGAGACCACGAACAGAAGCCACGTCTGGCTTATCTTTGGCCCCTTCCCCTTGTTATCGAGCGTTTCGCCTGATATTACGCCTTCTAATCGTGGGTGGTATAGGTGCATTGCGCGTAGGCTGTAACGGTGTCCAAATTGTATCAGTTTTGATCCTTTAAACGATACTTCAAGGGGCAAGTTCCTATCTTTCTACCTTTTTCGTTTTCTTGGGAAAAGAGAGGAGTCAAGGTCAGGGTTAGGGATGATTTCATTTGGAAACATGTCTCTTCTTGTGTCTTTTAATTGCTGTCTGACGAAGCGTCGATAGTAACGTTATTAGAGCCGTTATCCTTACTATCGAACATTCTTCTGTACAGAAAATATTTACCACGTTGAAAAGAAAAATATCAAAGCAAAGAATCTATTTAATTCGAATTTGTTTTACGACAATTTACGAATTCTATCGTAATCCATCACCGGCGTGATCGATATCATAACGAGCGATGTTAAACAGATCACGTGTTGAACTGTTTTCTTTTTTCAAACGTAATATACGTTTCCTAAAGGTGTCCTCAAGCAGCCAATAATATTGGCAATATTTCAAGGTTCTCAACATCGTTGTATAATATTGACAATATTGTATTGACAATATACATATTGATCTTTTTAATTGCCAACCTTGAGATATCGACGATATATGTATACTTGACAGTCTGAGAGCACCGTAACAGATACGTCATTTTAACAGAGCGAATAATCTTTTGTAACAATGGAGAAGATTCCTCCATGAAGCAAGGAATTCTCGAGAGCGGCACGGTTGATTTAGTCGATGGCAGTCGAAAGCTGGCGGCTTCTGAAGTTATTTCGGCTTATCTTGGCTCAACTTGTTATCCCGTGGCGTGCAAAACTATTCGATTTATGGATTTCTTTGGAGCGGCGGCAGATGCTGCTCGTACCGCGATAAATTTCAAACAAAGAGTAGAAGAAAGAGTGAGGGGGTGGGCAGAATGTAGGGTGAGCTGGTTCACGTATTAGGAGAGATTTATACGTAAAATTCGCGCGCGAGGAACGGCGCGTGAACCTCGTGATAAAATGGTTGGAAGGAAAACATTTCGAAACATACTCGATCATGGTATTAAGGGCAAAAAGGAAGGAGAAGAAAGTGTTTACGATGGGAGGGAAGAAACTTGAATGGATCTTCGACATTAGGGATTCGTAGCGTAAGATATTCTTAACGCGTTTAAGATTTCAATTATTGTTCTTGTGGTTCCAATCGCGATGGAGAAACTATAAATGGAATATGAAATACGCGATATTGCCAATGAGAACTTGTAAAATCGTTTAAATTTAATATTCGAATTTAATATTGCCAATGAGAACTTGTAAAATTGTTTAAATTTAATATTCGAATTTGAATTTCAAATATTCCGAGCGAAGGTTTAACTTGAAAAATCCAATTTCTTTTTTTCGTATTACGATATATTTGAATTTTGAGATTGTAACATTTCAATTTAGATTTTGAATCGCAAGATTCGTTTGTATCGCGATCTTTGAAAGAAAAATGTTGAAAAACGCGTGCTATACCTACCATTTACTTGTACGATTACGAGACGACAAAAGAAAAGATAACCGTTAGCCCTGAAAAAGAAATTTATGACGAACGTTAGGTGAGATAAGTGTCTTCATAATTCACGCAGTACATCAAACATACAGCGTCAAATATACGTGCACGAAGATAAATTTTTTCCTCCGATCGCGATCGCTTGTAAACGTCGAATTTCTAACTTTTTTTCCTCGAGTCGGTAAATTCACGTTGCGTTTGACGCCCGTCTAAGTTGCTCTTTCAAGTTCGTTGATTTATTCCTTGGGGAAGAAATGGGAATCGCGACGATAAGTTATTGTTATCGATTCGAACTCGATATATTTTATTAGACGTTATTTGCGTCTATTACGAATACTGTACGTGTCCTACATTTCACCGAGAAATGACAAACAACGTGTCGCTTATTATGACACGAGTCATAAATTATTACGCGCTACGAATAACTCGGAATTTTCTTTCGCGCTAAATTCAATGAAATTTTACAAACAAATTTTTCAAATTATAAATCACCACGTCACAGAATGATGATATTCTATTCGTAGGATCGTAAAATTATAAAAAGGCAGTCGATAACGTATAACTTTGTCGATTTATTAGTATTATTCGTTTTGTAAATTGTTATACGAAAGAGTTCTGACGATAACTTTTATCGCTTCTTTATTGAATCAAGATGAGCCGATCGTAATTCCCAATGTTAAAATATTCGTTTCTCTTTTTTGTCCACCCGGTGTACTCGTCGGGCCCGCAAAACCGTCAAAGCAAACTGCGGTAGGCGCTTCTTGGTTTACACATTATTTCAGTAGCTCTAAGTTCGCGCTTGTTATTAACGGTCTCGTAAAAAGGCCATGATTTATGGATTCCTTCGTCGGAAGCGTGTTTCGAGAGCGTGAAACGTTTCTCCCCCTTTGCATCTACATTCGACATGAAAACAATGAACGTGGAACACGTATACGCGTATCGAAGACCGTAGATAAACGAAAGACGCGAGCCAACTATCACAGCTGATATCGTTTTATTCATCGCTGTGGGTCTCCAAGTATATGTACGTATTAATTGTTTAATCTAACGACGTTCCACGTTACATTAAAACACATAATACGTTATCGGTAAAATAAAAGGAAATTGCAGATTTTTATGCTGTACATTTACACGAACGTAAATAAAGAAACAGAGCAGCACTCTGAATAGAGATTTCTTCCACCTACTAAATATTCGAATAAATATTCCGCTTTGAATACTTTCCGAGTTTTCTCGCGTTATAGTACGCGTTCTATATACACATTTTTATACCTTGAAATTTTCCACAAACGTATAAAAATACGCCGACTAATAATAACGCATAATATACATACGTAAAAGCTTTTTACAGTAAGCGTACAAATACTTTCGCGAGCCAGTGTAATTACATTAATAAAAGAGAATAACTCGTATCTTGATCGATGTCGCGTTATTCTACGATACGTCTTACTGTACGCCTCCGATCTCTCGTAACAATTCGTTTTAATAGGCTCGACGATCCCGTTCGTTCCTCAAGGGCATTTATTAGATCCCTTAGTTTGCCGCACGTGTTCCCGCCAGTCCTCGTGGATCTTTTTTATCTTCTACGTTTTCATTAATCTCCGCGTCCACTTGTGTACACGTATTTTTACGTCGTTTCGAGACCGTCCTCCCCGGCGACGCCTAACCATCCAACGAATTTATGCGTCTGGCAATAATACGTTAACTTTTTCGATCTGATGCGTGCCTGCTGTAATGTTTTTGTAGGGTGGCCTATTAAGTGACATATGGATCGTTCGTTTGCCACATTGCCTACGAGGTGATAAATGATTGTCCGGGATTTAATTAGCTCTGGCATGCGCACGAAATCGTTTGAAGCCAGTTAGACAGGAATGTTCTCATGGGGCGCCGTTGGAAAAGTACCAGAGCATGTTTTAGGAAATTCTATTGATACGGTTCGTGCTTTGTACGCTAGAAAATTGTCACCTTTTGAGAATTTAAAGATACAGCGTCGTAGAAAAGATATCGGTTAACTTAAGACGGGGTAACAAATGGAATAAAAATGTTATTCGAACAATTATCGAAACGAAAGTTGCCGAGCTCGATTTTATATCGTATATTGTATATATCGGAGATAGTAGAGAGGAAAATCAATATCCCTTTCTCGGAGAGATTAAAATGGAAAAGATTAAAATGGAAATTTTTATTTAGAGTCGATAAGGAGACAGAATTAAAATTCTGTTCGATAATAAACGTTATTGTATTATTTTCAGAAATCAATTATTCGCAAATTACCGATTTGCCAAATATTTGAATATTTCAAACAATAAAGAATAATAAATAATCGTAAACCTTTTGTATGTAAGAAACAAACTTACTAGCGGGTATTATTCATCCTTGAAGCAACTCGGTAGTCAAATTTTCTTATTAGATTAGTGGGAAGTAGGAAAAGAAATCTACTTAGACTTAGACATTAGAATACAAACACTTGCGGTAAAAGCAAACACCGTTGGTGATAACAATTGTCTGATTTGTACGGTTTGGGAGTAGGAATTCCACGCACCATGAAAGAACAGCTTTATTTTCTTGGTAAAATTAAATAACAGATATTTAAACGGCAAATATAACGACAAGTATTAATTTATATTTCCTAAATATATTATTATTTGAATAACGTTGTTTGAAACAAAGTGACAGAGTAAATAGTAAATAAGATACAAATTTTATTTGAGTAATTAATTTGAGAAATTAAAATTTTTTAAATCCGTAATTAAATTAGTGTTTCTGAAAAAAATTGTTAATTATCGTCGTTGAAAGTAAATTGTCAATCTTTATCGGATCGATCAAAAATTTCTAAATTTGTATTTAATTACTAAAAAAATCGCTAATAATACAGTAACCGTTTTTAAAATACACAACTTACAACTTATGTGAAATATTAGATAACAATCTCAACAATTATTTATGCTACGTTTAACTTTAAATTATCCCAATTAGTGAAGGTGAAAAACGCAGGTAACCACAGATATTATCTTCACAAGATAATTGTTAGACAAATAGCGGACGAGCAAGAAAATAAAGGAGAATACAAGTTTAAGATCGCAAACAGAACAGAGATAAAAATTATTTAGCCAGAGCAGCCAATGGTAAACACGCAAGAAACAAAGTTTCTTGACAACGTTGTAATTATATGGTATTAAAATATAATTACTTATCCATTAATCAAGTCGATCGTTCGGTCGTTGCAGATTTATATAATTCTTTTTTTTTTTTCTTGTATAGCTCGTTAAATATGAAACCTTCGATAATACAACTGTCTCATTGCTGTCGTGATATTTTCATAAAATCATCTGAAAGCAAAAAATCATTTAACGTACATAATGGTAATCGCAATTATCATAAATTAATAAATTAATGGCCGAGATGTTTATTTTTTCATGTTCACGGGTAATCGCTGAATACATAAGCAGGACGTAAAATAAGAAGTGTGTCTAATGACTGTAAGGACTTTAATCTTGCGCTACGATCGCTGTAGAATAAAATTACATTTATCGCAACTCTTTCTTTTATCTTTTATCATCTGTTGGAACAGAATTTCCTTCACGATGCAAACACAAAAGTTTACTAGAATACGTGTTCCAAGAAGAAGACTTATAAACATTAATTAATTCTTAATCAAGAAACGCACAGAATTTTCTACGTCTTAGTTCAGGCTTTCTATATACAAACCAATTTCCTGAAAACCTTATTTTTTCTAATTATACTGCTCTTACCGCTGTTATACGGGCACGTAAAGCGCATGAAATTTCACAATATAGAAATAGACGTTATAAAGTATTTTTTCCACCAGAAATTATCCTCGGCTAATAGCGTATAGATAATGGAAAGTTTCATAATGAGCATACAAACCGGAACCAGACCAGAAAATTCCAGAACCCTTCTCCAATTCCCTTAGTCGTTTAACCAGCTCGCGGTCCATCGTATCCTCTTTACGTCCAACGCCATCAAAACACCATCAAACTCGGCAAACTCCGGAGACCGGCCCGTTCCTCGTAGCCAAGTTAAACTTTCACCCGGCTTGAACAGCCGTGGTCAGGCGAGGAACAAGTTATCCCTTTACACGAAAAAGAAGGCGAGAAAAGACGACGGGTCCCAAACAGCCTGAAAAACACGCGACGGCGGGGTTTTAAAGGGTTAAAAATACACGCCGGCTCGTGATTCAGCTGAGCCACGACACAATGGGCCCCGTTTCTCCGAGCTCGATGGCTCGTGCTTCGCCTTTGTTTATTTTCGTGCACATGCACCTTGCTGACCCTGTTACCTTGACCGTGGTGCACCTGAATTCCCCTCGATGACTCCATTGGCGTAACCTAGCCGTGCCTCACGGGTTCCCCTGGGAAAAAGAGAATTTTCTCTGACAAACGTTGGAATCCGGAATGGCTGCCTGGTCGGCCTTAGTCACGCTGGAATTAAAAATATTTACTTATATCGAAGTGTCCGAAAGGTGGATCGTTTGTCGGCTGGCCTGGCTCAAGGTGGACATCAAATCGAGAAAAGAACACGGCATTTATCCGGCAGTCGACGCGAACCGGACCTAAGTGACGCACGAGGAAACTTTCCTCGCTGATCTTTCGGCTGTGTCGCGCGAGGAAACTTACCGCGAATGTTCGGCATCGGGATAAACGCGTTTCCAGGATATCATTATGATTACAGCTCGATAAAGTTCCCGACTTTTTCCAGACGTTGATTGGTACTTTTGGAGTTTGTTTCAATTTGGAATTTTACGGCCTGGCTCGAATCGAGGTACTTTGGTTTATCGGAGGATTTATTTTAATGGACCATTGAGTTGGACTTGCTGGAAGCGGTCGTCGATATTTTTATGGATTTTCTTCGTAACGTTGCGGATTGAAGTGAAAAATTCAACGCTGATTTTGTGTCAAGTAAAATTTTCATATCTACGTATATTTGTATAACGCTGCTGCAATCTTCCAACTTGTATGTTTCAATCTTGCTGTCAGTTCGAGGAGTATTCGTAACGTTCTACGCGATGTTTAGAATAAAATTCAAACAGGAAATCACGAGTATCAATAAACATCTTCCTATATTTTATTCGAACTTGCGATAATTTTTAACGTCAGAAAATAGATAATTTTACAAAGCAAAGTATACGATTAATAACAATCAAGTTTGTATATATACATATCGCGTTAATTTCGTTATCGTAGCCACAGTCGTAGCCACCTCGCAAAAATTATAAATTATAAATTATAATTTCATTTTATTCCGACGCGCTGTGATGATTATTCTTCGAAATTATGTACAAAATAGAAATATTAATGACATTATTATCTGCAGTGTAATATCAGTACGAGGAAATGAAAGATTTCATAGTAAGCTACTACGTCTCTCGTGTAATAATTTCCATCACGATGCTTGTGTTATAAAAATAGTATCAGTTGATGCTCGAGCGAGTCAACGTCGAAGATTAAAGCGGCCATGATGTGATAAACTGATCTTGCGTGGTCACATGCAAGATCATTAACAACAAAGTCATCAGACGCTAGCGATGATATTTATGGCGTTTTAAACGTTAGATCAACGCCGCACCGGCTCGCTAGATAATGGTAGCAATAAAAACGAGTATTTTACTTGCACGGGATTTGATCGGGTGATTCGTTACGGTGGAATTTATCGTTCGCTCCTGGCGAACGGGAAAACTCGTCCACGAAATTCGTCGGGTTTAATGGCACTGATTCTTCCTCTACGATACGATACGACCAATATTTTTCTTCCAGCGTCGTTCTTTTTCGACCGAGTCAATGGTCCGAGCATCTGGGCATGACGGGAGAAGATCGTTGATTTAAACTGTTCCGTTTTCATAATCGTTTCTGTAAACTTTCGATCGAGGATGACTTTGTGGTTTGAAAAATTTTCCAATGAATTTCCAACAGAAGTACAAAATTACAGAAAAGTTTAAAAAAATGTATATAAAAATGCCTAATTTAATAGCGAATGAACGTTATCGTAGAATTTTGCCTAGTCTTTACGAGTATTTTCGCAGCAGTTTCCGATAAGTATGTAGCTACGCAATTAATATGTGCATGTGTGTGTGTGTGTGTGCGTATGCAAAGAATACACGGAAAGTAAAATTTTTTTTTTAACAAAAACCAATGATATTAAATTACGATAAAAAGTTGTTTAAAAATATCCAATAGAATTACGTAAGAATTTTTGAAAGATGCTATATTACATATTACATATATTACATATTTATTGGAAGAAGGTGTGAAAGACGAGGAGAAAAAGAAGAAAATGGATCAAGCGTTTCCTCTTCGATGCTCCGCAAGTATCTTTCATCGTACAAGAGTCTTATATCGGAAATTCAGCATCTTTCTGATAGAGAAGATACGATGAAAGAAGTGGAGTGTCATTCTTTTGCCGACTTCCTCTTTTCTTTGAAATATCTCTCGACATCGGCCGATTCGGCACGTTTCTTCGTATCGCGTAAACTTGTTTCTTTCTTCTATGCTTCGGCAAATTTTGCTTACATGTTTCCCTTTATCTGGCTGTCGGATACATCAAGAGGTTCGTTACGCTTCTAGCTTTTGAGGAATTTTATCGATTTTTGCTTGGATATAATATCGACGTCTTAAACTTAAACATCTTTCGCCGTAATAATAGTAGAACTAAAATGTTTGAGAACATTACGAGGAAATAAATGTCAAAGAAAAGCCGAAAACGAAAAGAAAATGGGAACTCGCGTCGATGTCTTATCTACGCAAATATAATTTACGCGCAAACATGAATGACAATGTAACGATTACAAAGCTGGCAGATGTACGGACGATTTGTATCTCATGCTAGACCGGAAGTGGGTCATATCGCGAACGTGATTACACGAGTTCGTACTTTTATGACACAGTGATTGCATTTCATCATGAGAAAACAGACGCAAGAGAAGCATTTATTACGCTGACAATAAAATTGATTAACCGATTACATAAAAACAATTTGTTACAAATATTATTATTATCTGCACACTTGTACTTTAACTTCCATTTAAAAAAGAAACAAAATAATTCACTTCTATATCAAAAGAACATCAAAATCGTCAAAGGAAGAGTTCGACGTGTAAGACTGAAAATTATAAATATGTCGGAGATGAAAGGACACCGGAGTCTCCCCTTTGGAACTTCGGGAAGATCCATAAAATTGTAATTAAAGTCTACAGCTGCAATTAAACAATTTACCGTCATTCTACCCAATTATATTTATTTGAGATTTATAACAATGAGCTTGGGCTCAAGGCGACGATCAGTCGCCGAACGTAACCGCCTAACAAAAGTATGGAGTAATAATATAGCCCTCGTCGCCACCTACACGGCACAAGTTCAGCTAGCCTGAGGACCCGCTATAAACCTTAGGATTTTGTTAATTAAGGTTCTTCGAACGGACAAGCAGTCTTTGTCCCAAATTGACCAATTAACAGCAGCGTTAATTTCCCTCGCTTCCCGAATGAAGACATCTCTCCACGAATCCCAAGGATTTCGTGTTCTTAGACACACCCCGTCATAGTTTTCCTCGACAGCGTCACCGTGACGGAAAGTCACTCTCGCTGGTGTACGAGCGCTTGGACTAGTTAACTAACGTCTTGCTATCTCCACACTAGGTATCAATTCCAACTTAGACTTCGACGAAGGAATAAGCCTACTAACCCGTTGACCATTGTCATTAGCTTCTCGAGTGTCTGATTACCGCGGTTACTTGTCAAATTCTGTAGCAGTCGTATTTGCACTAGTCGATGTCTTCTCCATTGCATAGCAACCATGTGTGGTTCAAACGAGGATTCCTTTCACGCCCCTAACCCTAATCATAATGAGGACTCGACAAATATAATACGTATTTCACCATTTTTTCCTACAGTATATTTTTTCTGCTAATATTACCTATTTAATAACTCATTTTTCTCGAAGCTTCCAAATAGCTTTCCCGCTTCTTTGTTCGAAAAACTTGCTCGAGTACCGTCACTCTCGAAGCACCACAGTTCTAATATGCATACACTGCTTTGCTTAGAGAAATCGAAAAATAACACCCTTCGTCGGTTCATCCCCAAAAACCAATCGTCGATGCTCGATTCAAACTTCCTCTGGAAGGATATCCTGGGAAATCTCGACGAAATAACATACCTTCGTACCCGTTCACCCTTGTATCTATCGTTTTCGAGCCTTTAAGTGCCTCCTCCCTTACCCCTGATTCGCCGATTTCCATAATATAGCGCGCGAAGGGACACGCGTCTGCCCCATTAACGCGTCCGTCGCTTTTCAATGGAACCGAAGAAACTTCGTTTCGCAACGCTCTCCCTTTCTACGTTCTGTCTCTTCTCTCATCCCTCGGTTTCATTCTTCGCTGAGAAGCTCGTGCGCGCGCGCGTGACAACGCTTTATCGGTGGCCACGTCATCGAGAGGTATCGGGACGAATCGGAAACGATACAGGAATCCGATGCGTTCAACGATCGTTAATCCAGCGACGTATCTCGCGTTACTTAATCGACGACCCTGAAATAGGGCTGCTTTCGCGATATCGTCGACGTGAAATTCACCTGGAATTCATTATGCAAGCTGGGACTGGCCGCGTTAATTAGCCCCGTTGAGTTCCTGGCCGTGCTCGGTTCTTTGACTGCTAACCGTGTCGACGGCCATATCAGTGTGATTTATGCATTTTTCTTCTTTTTCCCTTCCCTCGCCACGTTCGCGTTCGCGCTCGCGCTCGCGCGCCGTTGCATATTAATGCCACGAATCTGGTTATCGATAGTTTCAGAGATCTTAGGTGTAACGTTAACGGTCGAGGAATTTATTTCTGGTTGGTAAAGATAGTCGAGAATGATCCGTAGATATACACAGGATAGAAAATTATACGGAACGATGAAAGATCAGTGAAAGGTGCGCGTGCAATTTAAGTCATTTCCTAGGTTCTTTTTCGTTTTCCTTTTTGCTCGGCTTAAAATAGCCTACTACGCTGTATTTTCTCATTTTTCCATCGATAAAGTATCAAAAATTAACGGTGTTCCGTAATATGCAAGAAATTATACACAGCAAGATAAAGAGAAATAACGATATAGGAAGTTATACGCGGTAAATAATATAGAAATAGAGATCGAATTTGAAAACAAGAAAGACCAACTGGTTCAAATAACTCTATCCTAACCGTGTAACGTTTACTAATTTCTGGTGTTTATCGTTGTACTAGAATACCAAACAAACTCGTATTGTTCGAAATCTTGTACGATTAGTTAGCATGGTCACGACGACGCGATGTTCTTTGACCAACGATAACCCCGACTAGGTACACATACCAGCAAAGTCCATTCGAGAGCGTATCGGAATAATTATCGCAGGGTCCATCTACATTCACGTATACGAGAAACACCGGGCGTCCCGTTAATTAAGAGATACTGCAATAATTACCAACAAGCGTAGAACAACGTGTTCGCCAAACGTATTACGTACTCTTCGCTCGTCGTCGCTATCCCCATTTTTTTCTTCTCCTCGTTTCCTTTTTTTCAATCGAGGTAATGGTACTGTTACAACTGCGAAAACTCTCCTTTTGTCACGGGGCTAATGGCGCCATTGCAACTTGGAAATCCTTTTATTCGAAACACGCAGTCGCCTCCATAGAAGCGTGACTCTCGCAGCTCTTCTTTTTGTTCCTTTAAACACATTTTCTCGTCTGTAGCGTCTTTTGACCGACATTATAGCTGTTGCTTTTGTCGCTGATCCGTGACCATGTTTCCTTGGCCCAGCTGACAATGTATTCACCTTGAAATACATCCTTTCTTACCCTTCTACGACTTTTTTAATTCTAAAGATATTAAACTTTGGAAATGTTTCTAAACGCGATGAAGATTTGCCGGATAATGGGAAAAGGGACAAAGTGAGAGGCAAAGTTTGGTAAATTAAAAATCCTGCTTCATAAATATTGCGTCGGGCGAAGGATGAGGAATTTTGGGGAATTGCGTTTTGATTTATTATTCGAACGCCACATACTTAGATTTAGATTCAGGTTTACGCGCAAAATCGAACACGCTTCGAGTTTGAATAATTTCGCGAACACGGGAGAACGAGAAACGAGAGAAAAGGGTCGGCCGAATATCAAAGTTAACGCAAAGTGAAACATACGTTTGCGTGTTATAAAATTCCCATTCTCACTGCGACGAAGTCTTTCAACGATTATCTTTTCGTATTTAGAACAACGTTGCAATG